CTTCCACTTGTTATCCTTTCTATCTCAGCACCCACACACAAACGCACACGTGTCCTCTCCCTCTCCATCTCTCAGTGCATACACGCCCACACACAGGCACACAGAGCAGCACAACACGCTGCCTGCTGGGGGAGGGGAGGAGTGTGTTGGGCACTGGTGGGTAGGGGGGAGAGAGAGAGAGAGAGAGAGAGAGAGAGAGAGAGAGAGAGAGAGAGAGAGAGAGAGAGAGAGAGAGAGAGAGAGAGAGAGAGAGAGAGAGGAGAGAGAGAGAGAGAGAGAGAGAGAGAGAGAGAGAGAGATTCTCTCCATCATGGAGATAACATAGGGACAGCAACAGGACACCAGAAGCACTATCTAAGCTTGACTAAAGTAATTAATGAACAGTGTGTACCACATCACTTCAGTTAGGCCTACTTATAATCAAAACCTAGATATTCTTGAAAACAGTATGTGGACACCGGCTCGTCGAACATCTCATTCCAAAATCATGGACATTAATATGGAGTTGGTCCCCCCTTCCCTGCCACTCTTCTGGGAAGGCTTTCCACTCAATGTTGGAACATTGCTGCAGGGACTTGCTTCCATTCAGCCACAAGAGCATTAGTGAGGTCTGGCACTGATGTTGGGCGATTAGGCCTGGCTCTTAGTCAGCGTTCCAATTCATCCCAAAGGTGTTCGATGGGGTTGAGGTCAGGGCTCTGTGCAAGCCGGTCAAGTTCTTCCACACCGATCTAGACAAACCATTTCTGTATGGACCTCACTTTGTGCACGGGGCATTGTCATGCTGAAACAGGAATGGGCCTTCCCCAAACTGTTGCCACAAAGTTGGAAGCACAGAATCGTCTAGAATGTAATTGTATGCTGTAGTGTTAAGATTTCCCTTCACTAAGGTGCCTAGACCGAACCATAAAAAACAGCCCCAGACCATTATTCCTCCTCCACCAAACTTTACAATTGGCACTATGCATTCAGGCAGGTAGCGTTCTCCTGGCATCCGCCAAACCCAGATTAGTCCGTCGGACTGCCAGATGGTGAAGCGTGATTAATCACTCCAGAGAACGCTTTTCCACTGCTCCAGAATCCATTGGCGGCGAGCTTTACACCACTCGAGCCGACGCTTGGCAATGTGCATGGTGATCTCAGGCTTGTGTGAGGCTGCTCGGCCATGGAAACCCATTTCATTAAGCTCCCGAAGAACAGTTCTTGTGCTGACGTTGCTTCCAGAGGCAGTTTGGAACTCGGTAACAGAGGACAGACGATTTTTACACGCAACGTGCTTCAGCACTCTGCGGTCCCGTTCTATGAGCTTGTGTGGCCCATCACTTCGCGGCTGAGCTGTTGTTGCTCCTAGGCGTTTCCACTTCACAATAACAGCACTTACAGTTGATCGGGGCAGGTCTAGCAGGGCAGTGACGAACTGACTTGTTGGAAAGGTAGCAGGTAGCTTAGTGGTTAAGAGCGTTGTGCCAGTAATCGGAAGGTTGCTGGTTCTAATCCCCGAGCCAACTAGGTGAAAAATCTGTTGATGTGCCCTTGAGCAAGGCACTTAACCCTACTTGCTCCTGTAAGTCGCTCTGGATAAGAGCGTCTGCTAAATGACTAAAATGTGTTATTGTATAACAGTGCCACATTGAAAGTCACTGAGCTCTTCAGTACGGACCATTCTACTGACAATGTTTGTCTATGGAAATTGCATGGCTGTGTGTTCGATTTTATACACCTGTCAACAATGGGTGTGGCTGAACAATGTGTACACATACTTTTGGCCATATAGTTTATTTTGGGGAATGTGGGACACTGTGATTTGACATATGCAGTGGACTGGGTGATTAAGATGTGTGATTTAGACATTTGAAGTTTATTGACTATGCAGTCTATGTGGGAAATATTAACGCTTTCAATCCCCGCACGTTGACTTATTTTCTCTCTTTATCTCCATCCAGTGCGTCTCCATGACAGCATCTCGGAGGAGGGGCATCACTACCTGATCTTTGACCTGTGAGTAATGCACTGCAGTGAATCTATCTGCAGCACTGTTCCATCTGCTCTCACACACACAGCGGGGAGGCTTGACATTAATGACACAATGATTCTTCTAGTCTGGAAGGTAGCTTGATGTGAGTCTTGATGTGTGTCCTACTCACACTGATCAGAGCAGCCTGTGTAAGACGGAACCATTAATATAAGTAGAGGTCCTGAATTCAATAAGCTCCTCAGTAAGCTATACACTATAGGCTGTGGTTTCTAACCGCTAATTATGGCTAAAGAGCCCAGTAGTGCTGAGTGTACTCCGTTTGAGTGCTCCATCATAGTTCTGTAAAAGTCACTACTAGAAGCATTTTAAACACTCTAATGTTGTAATACCTTTCAATGCCTTTCAAAGAACTGTTGATTTCAGTCTGCAAAACATTGATTACAGTCCCCTGGAGGTGTTGAATGCTTTTCATTACAGAAACTGGAAATGTTAACATTGGAAAAGTACTACAGTATTGTAACTTTAAGAGAATTCTTCTTGCATCTGTTACGAGGTATCTTCTTTTACCTGCCTCTTCCCTGTTAATGTCTCTGAATGAAAAACAGCTTTGTACGTGTGAGACAGTGAGCAGCAGGACAAAGTGTTGCATAAGAAGATGACAATGCAAGTTGTTCTTAACTGATTTGAAACAGCAAGGTATTGTTAAGAAGCAGTCCCATAAGCACAACTCCATATATTCTCTTTGATTATTGTGCCCTATCAGAGAGATCACATTTGCTTAAAGTCCCAGTGCAGTCCAACATGTGATTTCCCTGTTTTATATATATTTCCACACTATGAGGTTGGAAAAATGCTGCGAAATTGTGAAAATGATGATAATGCCCTTTTAGAGTAAGAGCTGTTTGAAAAGACTGTCTGAAATTTCAGCCTGTTGTGGTGGGATGGAGTTTTGGCCTGCCTGGTGACATCACCATGCAGTGAATTTGTTAATAGACCAATAAGAAAGAGAGTTCCAAACCTTTCTGCCAATAACAGCTAATTTTCAGTTTTCCCCTCCCCACTCATACCACTCCCAGACAGTCCTAGAAAAATTATTGCTTGAGAAATTGCTCTTGCTAAGAAGCTATTTTTGTTTCTTTTTGATCATTTTGATTGAAAACAATCACAGTAAGGTACTTAACTGTTACCCAGAAATGTTTTAATATTGAGATAAAAATGGCTGCATTGGGCCTTTAATTCTATGAGATCAGACACAGATACTTACTGAAGGTTTCAAAAGGACACAAATGAGAGACTATGAAAATACAAACTAAGTCATCTTGGATATTCTTTAAAGCTGACACATTTTGGAGCAAACTGCTTTGTCAGAGCCCAATCATTTTGTACTAGCAGGTTTACAAAATAGGTCCACAAATATCTAACTTTATCTACTTATTATTATCGATAATGTTGTGTATGCTTACATGCTGTACCACATTCATATATTTGGCGATACTTGGTCAGTGTGTGCCAGTCTATGTGTGTATCCCATGAAGGCATGACTGGGTAGCATTTGGCTGTGTCCCAGGGCGACAGTGACTCACCAGCACCGCAGGAACCAGCTCCCAGCTCCCAGGTGCAACATTTCTCCCATGCAGCAGCAGCAGCTCTGCTCTGGGATTCACAGGCTCTCTCTTAGTGGAGGCTGTCTGATGGATGGATGGCCTCACACCCACCTATTAAATGGGAGCATGGAGTTCATCATACTGACAAATTGACAAGGCAATTTTCCCACACTGAAGGCTGCTTTGAACTTTGAAATGTCAGCACCCACACCCTTGCACTCATTGCAATACATTACACAAGCTGGTATGTGTTGCCGTGAACACATAAAATTCATATTTTAAAGGGTTCATAGTCTGTACTTTGCAACAGTGAGACAACTGCTTGTGCCTTTTCTCACGTCAGAAAGGTACCATTGAGGTGCCTGTTAGGTTCCATGTCAACACTCAGTTGTCAATGTGTCTTAGTGGCTGATATGAAGGGTACAGGGAAGGGTGTGTTTCTCTCACGTTGGCTCCATGCTCCAGGTCACCTGCATCCTCTTGAGACAGGCAGCCTAACAATCCCCTCTCTTCCTCAGAGTCACGGGCGGGGAGCTCTTTGAAGACATTGTTGCTCGAGAGTACTACAGCGAGGCCGACGCCAGGTCAGTGAAACCACCTCACAACACACAGCATACACCCAAAATCAGATCTGTGAGAAAAGCAATTTAGAGACTTCAACATAATAACTTGAAGTGTAACATGTATTAAATTAAGTGAATTATACAGAGGTCACAGCACTCCCAAACCAGAGAGATTAGAGAGGACCTAAAGGCATAGATAGAAAACCCTGATATGCTGTACATTCAAGGCTTTACAACCCTTTTTTGTGATGTAGTCAGTCAGAGGCCTTTCTTTCTTTTCTTTAATTATTGGACTGTTCATTTGGATTGAACAGCTTTACCTGTATAAGCCCATTCATGGATAGAGCGTCTTCCCACTTCACCTAACCAGTGAAAGATACTGACTGGGCCATTGATTTGCAGTGACAGAGCGACAGGGCTACAAAACAAATTAATGAATAGAATCAAATGGAAACAGATGGTTGTGGAGGTGTCGGAGGTGTCGGAGCGACCTCCAATCAATGTACACGTTTCACTCCGGGTTTCTGCGGACCGGGCTCTCGCTGCTCCACTGCTTGATTGACAGCTGAGTGTAGTGGCTAATTAGCCTCCCACTGACGCCCAGCCCAACATGCAGAAACTCATCAGACAGGCTTTGGCCCATGCTACTGTGTTGATCGACAGCTTTAGAAAAATGAATGAACATATCTAACGTCTCGGTGTGTCTTGTATCGTTTCAGAGGTGCATAAACAATTTTCTCCCAAAATTCTGTGTGGATTAATGCTGAATTAAAGCCCATTTTCAATAGCACTCAATTTAGCGCCGCCGAACTCCCAGCCCACTCAGTCTTTCTGTTTTCTCTCTCTCTCCTTTCATAGTCATTGTATTCAGCAGATTCTGGAGGCAGTGCTTCATTGTCATCAGATGGGAGTCGTTCACAGGGACCTCAAGGTAAGATTTAATAAGGAATAAATTAAAAGACACAGACGGTATTTGGCACAGTCACAGACTGTTTATCCACTGCAATATACTAACTTTGATGACATTGTTGTCATTTGATTGTGTATCAAAATTCCGTTAAACACATTGGATTTGAATTTAAAGAAACTATACCCAGAATCTTTAGATTATATATTTGTTTGATATTTTCATTCATTGAAATACATTTCAACCATTCATTTTAGTCATCCAGACTCTTTAATTTGAACCTTAAAGCGACAATCAGCAGTTGAAACAATAACAAAGCGGTCTGCCTGCCGCTGTTTCGGTAAAAAGCTGAGGGATGCGGATGGAGAGACGTAGCCACTCTCAAATTCATAGAGGGAGCTATGGATGCAAGGAGTCACCATCCATGATATCAAAAGTATAGTTTGAACCATGTTTTGAAGCTATACAGGGTTTGTTTACGTTTACTTTGCAAACGTTGGAGTAAAACAAGCTTATATTTTGGGTTCTGGTGGGGTACGACAGTTGAACTAAGCTCATATGAGGCATTTATAAGTTATATTCTTCAAGAATCAATGGGTATACAGTATATCATTAATTTGTTAGTCCAAAAATGGATGTAGCAACTGCAGATTACCCCTTTAAGGACACATCTATGTATTCAATGTTTGCTCAGGCAGCGGACAACAGGCCATTTGGGCTGTGATTAGAAGCTTTGTTGCTACTGAATGGTTCTGAGAGGACCACCTCTGTGAAATGTGTGACATAATTGCACTGTGGTTACAGTGGGGAGGGAGCGTGGGATGAGATGGGATGGGATGTTAGCAAATCTGTTTCTAGCCATCACACCCCCACGCTGTTCTCACAGAGGTCTGATGGGAAGAGGAGGAGGAGGAGAGGAAGAGGGAGAACTAGTCATACAACATAAGGTTTAGTCGGCAGCATATGGGCAAATAATAACTTTGTCAATACCTCTGTAGTGCTCAAGTCATACTTTATTCAATTCAGGGACATTTATTTTGGGAGGTTCAGCACCACAAGTTCATAGCAGGTCAGTCCAGGTGGAGCTGGGACTTGATGGGTGGTTGGTTAGAGAATCCACCTGTCACCTCCTCTGGTCCCCACATTGAGTCAGGTGTTACTAAAGACTCCTGACCTGCCTCACCTCATGACTTCGTCCTCTTGTGTGCCATAACTCTCTACAGTCTCAACTGCATTCTTAAACTGTATTGATATTTTCTCATGATGACTTAGTGCTTTATTGATTTATAGTCCAGGCAAAACATTTATTAAAACCGATTTTGATAATACAACGTGCTGTAGCGGTCAATCAGTATACATATTTATTTTCTCATCATCATGTCCCATTAAGCCTGATTAGCTTAAAGGCCACAATCACCTGAGATGGTGATTGCAACTCAAAGTCATGACTGGGGTTGTGTGACCGTGATAACACTCTGTTTGGTCCTGTCTGTTCCAAATGTCTGGAGTCTGGATGTCACTGCTGACCTGATTGAATAGGCATTCACTTACAATGCAACAACCATCAATCCATTGTTCTGTTGTCAACTTGTCATGTACAGTACATGTACTTCATATCTCAATGTCAGCTCGAGGGACCCTTAAAAGAGTGTGGTTTCTCATTTACAGTAAAAGCGGCAACAAACCCTCACACCATCTCCATCATATCAGAAAGCATTGGTGTGTGATACAGTATCTGCAATGTTGTAGTTGTAATGAATACTCAGGGAGAAAAAGGTGTAGATTCACGCACAGAGCGCGGCAGGTGTTTATTACGCCTTCGCAAAAGGCAGGAATCGTGGTCACAGGCAGGCAATGGTCATACACAGGTAGGCAAACAAGCAGGAGAATCAAAACTAGGACTGAAGGCTATAACTGGTTCTCACAAACGAGCTATGAAAAGGCTTAGTAGAGTCAAAACGAACAATACCTCACAAGGCACAAACAGAATGAACTGAACTAAATAAGGAGCTAATGAGACCAGGTGAGTAACAAACACAGGTGAAATGAAAGAGGGCTATGTTCAAGAACACAAAGAAACAGGGCTACGTTCAAGAACACAAGGTTGACTAAGAAAATAAATACAGAACCTTACAGTAGTGTCAATGAGGGACAGATAAAGCACAGGGTTGGTTCCAGTACTGTCCCATTTATTATCACACATCTTCAAGTGCCGCTATCCACAACCCCACACTCTTTTTGCCTGGACTTTAAATCAATAAAGCACAAAGTCATCATGAGAAAATATCAATACAGTTTAAGAATTTACACAGGCAGCCTGATTCTGATCTTTTTTCAACTCATTGGTCTTTTGACCAATCACATCAGATCTTTTCACATCAGATCTTTTTCAGAGCTGATCTGAAGACCAATTAATGAAAAAAATATCAAAGTTGGGCTGCCTGTGTAAACGCAGCCTTCTTGTTCAATCTTTCAAAGGTAAATTTTTGTTTATTCCATCTTTTTTATATTTCTTACAGACTGCTTCAGCACTCACACTGTTATTAACATCCACTAACACATTCCTGTACAAAGATACCCTCCTCCTGCCCCAGAGATAAATGTTCCATTCACATCGTTTTACATCTCCCGAGGGAAGGTGGAGTGCTAAAATGGATTTGTGTGGGCCGGGATGTTAAGTGTGTGTGTGTGTTTGTGCGTGTGTGTACGTGTGTGTGTGTGGTGTATGTCTATGTGTATCAGAGGGTAGATAACATCTCATAGCAGTAGCAGAGTGTGTGTGTGTGGGAGGGGGGGGGGGATTCATCAGAGCTCTGTAATGCTGCAACCACAAAAAACAAAAACGGAACACTATTCAATTAGGCCCAGAATCATGTCTGTCTGCCACCGTATTCCTGCTTGTGCTCAGGTCTCTTGTCTCCTCTCACTGACTGATTGGCTATTCTCTCTTTGTACCCAGCCTGAGAACCTTCTGCTTGCCTCCAAGTCCAAGGGAGCTGCAGTGAAGCTGGCAGACTTCGGCCTGGCCATCGAGGTTGAGGGGGAACAACAAGCCTGGTTCGGTAATGGCTAATGGCTGATATGAATCGTAATTACACACACACACAAAAAAACTGAAATGCAAATATGGACTGGCTTCTAAAGCATGTCTACTTATGCAAGATTTAGGATGTATAATCAGCAGGGAAACTGCATAGGGGGACACATAGAGTCATGAATGAAGAATAATTAGTTTTCTGAGCACAAAGAATTCCAGTCTGAACCTTCAGAGGGAAATAAATAATTAAAAGACTCCTGTGGAATCCAATCAAACAACTCTTTGCCTCGAACATCCTCAAAAAACGAAACAGCTACTCTGGAGAAATACCAACAACTAAAAACAAAGGGAAAAATATCATAAAAGAACACGATCAAGGTTAGGAAAAAACAACTTCCGCAGCGTCATGACTACCACAGGGGAAAGAGAAAACGGGCTGCTTTCTGCTTGTTTTATTTATGAATTGCCATCCAGAAGTAGAAATGTCACCACAGCGCCATCCTGACTCATTAGTAGTGAGGCCTGCTGTGTAAAACCATCTTGTCAGAATAGGTTAGGCACAGCTCATTTTTCATCACTCTGCTCTAAATAACCTAACTGACTGACTGGTGCTGCCTTATGATTGGTGCCCTTAGGTCAAGAACAGGGCCGTGCACAGACCTTTCCAGGGGCTGGTGCTCATAGGCCTATTTATTTCTGCAACAACACACTCATTCATCACAAATTGTAAGAAAGCTAGTTACAGTGCCTCCTAAAGACATGAAGGTCACAGAAAATCTATGATTTTTAATCCAGCCAATCCCATGAGCCCCTGGGATAGGAGCTCTGTCTAAACCAGGATGGAAGTCTCTCTCTGCTGACCCAATGCTGTGGTTTTCTATGTCTGTCTGAGGATGTCCTCAGTCATTTCTCACAGTGTCTCTCTTTCAGATGTTTCATCAGCCTGCCGCTTGGCACTGTGCTGTGTTCAAAGACGCATGGAGCAGAATGTCTGGTGAACAGGTCAGGGTTCCATAGCCGCAGGCAAAACAGCAGAAACTCTATCAGCAGCACAACCAGGTGGACTGGGGACGGGGACAGCCAGGAGTCGTTAGGCCAGGTAGTCCTGAGGCATTGTTCTAGGGCTCAAGTCCTCCGGGAGGGGAGAGAGTGAGAGAGAGAGATGGGAGAATTAGAGGGAGCATACTTAAGATCACACAGGACACCAGATAAGACAGGAGAAATGCACAAGATAGGACAGTCTGACCCTAGCCCCCACGGCACATAAATGAATGCAGCATAGATACTGAGTACTGAGACAGGGTGGATCGGGGGACACTGTGGCCTCGTCCGACAATACCCCCAGACAGGGCCAACCAGGCAGGATATAACCCCACCCGCTTTGCCAAAACACAACCCCCACATCACCAGAGGGATATCAACCCACTACCCTGAGACAAGGCGGAGTATAGCCCACAAAGATCTCCCCCACCACAAGAACCCGAGGAGGCGCAAGACCGTACAGGAAGATAACGTCAGTGACACAACCCACTCAAGTCGAGTATAGCAACAAAAAAAGCCTGGCAAGACATGATGCACGCCTCCTAGAAATGGCATGGGAGAGCACTAGCAAGCCAGTGACAGTTCCCGTAATGGGGTCAGAGGCAGAGAATCCCAGTGGAGAGAGGGGAGCCAGCCAGGCAAAGACAGCAAGGGGGGTTTGTCACTCCATTGTCTTGCTGTTCACCTTCGCACCCCTGGGCCATACTACACTCATTCATTGGACCTGATGAAGAGATGATTATTCAGTAAAGACTTAAAGGTCGAGACCGAGTCTGTGTCTCTCACATGGATTGGCAGACCATTCCATAAAAATTTAGCTCTGTAGGAGAAAGCCCTGCCTGCAGCTGTTTGCTTAGAAATTCTAGGAATAAGCAGGCCTGCGTCTTGTGATCGTAGAGTACGTGTAGGTATATACGGCAGGACCAAATTGGAGAGATAGGTAAGAGCAAGTCCATGTAATAGTTTGTAGGTTAGCATTAAAACCTTGAAATCAGCCGTAGCCTTAACAGAAAGCCAGAGGTTAGCACTGGAGAAATATGATCTTTTTTTTTGGGTTCTAGTCAAGATTCTAGCAGCCATTTTTAGCACTAGATTAAGCTTATTTAGTGCTTTATCCGGGTAGCCGTAGAGTAGAGCATTGCAGTAGTCTAATCTTGAAGTGACAATAAACGTTCTGATTTTTTGCAATGTTACGAAGATGGAAAAAGCTGCTCTTGTAATATTTTTGATATGTTCATCAAAAGAGAGATCAGGGTCCAGAGTAACGCCAAGGTCCTTCCCATTTTATTTCAGACAACTGTACAACCGTTGAGATTAATTTTCAGATCAAACAGCAGATCTCTTTGTTTCTAGGGACCTAGAACTAGCATCTCTGTTTTGTCCGAGTTTAAAAGTACAACATTTGCCTCCATCCACTTCCTTATGTCTGAAATACTGGCTTCCAGAGTACGCAATTTTGGGACTTCACCGAAATGTACAGCTGTGTGTCGTCTGCATAGCAGTGAAAGTTATCATTGTGTTTTCGAATGACATCACCAAGAGGTAGCATATACTGTATAGTGAAAACAATAGTGGTCCTAAAACAGAACCTTGAGGAACACTGAAACTTACCATTGATTTGTCAGAGGACAAACCAACCACAGAGACTAACTGATATCTTTCCGACAGATAAGATCTAAACCAGGCAAGAACTTGTCCACGTAGACCAATTTGGATTTCCAATCTCTCCAAAAGAATGTGGGGATCAATGGTGTCAAAAGCGGCACTAAGGTCTAGGAGCACAAGGACAGACACAGAGCCTTGGTCTAACGCCGTTAAAAGGACAATTACCAACTTCACGAGTGTGGTCTCAGTAGTATGATGGGGTCTAAAACCAGACTCTCTTCAGGAAAGCATTGAGTTGCTGAGCAAAAGCTTTTTTTAAATGCTGAGAGGAATGGGAGATTTGACATAGGCCGATAGTTGTAAATGTCCGGTGAACAAAAAAATTCTGGGTCAAGGTTTGGCTTTTACACGAGAGGCTTTATGATAGCCGCGGGAAGTAGGGGTGCTGAGGATGTTGCAGAACCCCCTGAAAAATTATCAAACTTTGATACTTACATTATGGTCACCGCTTGCAAGATCCACTGTCAATGATGGTACAGCATCCGTCTTCAGGATAAGCTTCCTGGCAAGACCCGTCAAATGCTCTCCCCAATTGATAAAGCAACTTCACTCGAAATGTGCACTGCACATGCGTGACCAGATCGTAATTTTCCGTTCAGCCTGTCCACCCGAAATGAAAAGCAGCCACTGCTGTCGGATGTCTTCATTCTTCAGAAAATAAAGTTACACTATGGCATCCAGTCACAACACAGTGTGCTTTTGCTGGCATGCTAGCAAGTAGCTTGCTAGCTAACAGTCACACCACAGATGAAAGGTTACCAGTATCTTTGGGAGTATGTTCTGCTTGAGCTTACGGATTGTAAACAAAGCCAAAGCAAGTTATAGGCAGACATGTGTTGATGGTACATATTGAAATTATCAAACCATTGGTGTATTACATTTCCGGCATTATGTATTTGTATTTGTATTTATTATGGATCTCCAAGGCAGCAGCTACTCTTCCTGGGGTCCAGTAACATTAAGGCAGTTATACATTTTAAAAACTTTACAATATATTCATAACAGATTTCACAACATATTAAGTGTGTGCCCTCAGGCCTCTACTCTACTACCACATATATATAACACAAAATCCAGGTGTACATGTGTGTATAGTGTGTATGTTATCGTGTGTTTGTATGCATGTGTCTATGTTTGTGTTACTTCACAGTCCCCGTTGTTCCATAAGGTGTATTTTTATCTGTTTTTTAAATCTAATTTTACTGCTGGCATGAGTTACTTGATGTGGAATAGAGTTCCATGTAGTCATGGCTCTATGTAGTACTGTGCGCCTCCTATAGTCTGTTCTGGACTTGGGGACTGTGAAGAGACCTCTGGTAACATAACTTGTGGGGTATGCATGGGTGTCCGAGTTGTGTGCCAGTAGTTCAAACAGACAGCTCGGTGCATTCAACATGTCAATATCTCTCACAAATACAAGTAGTAATGAAGTCAATCTCTCCTCCACTTTGAGCCAGCAGAGATTGTAATGCATATTATTAATGTTAGCTCTCTGTGTATGTCAACCACCGCATTCTTATTGGCAGACTAAATGGCCTTGGTTTCTCAAATGACTGCCTCGCCTGGTTCACCAACTACTTCTCAGATAGAGTTCAATGTGTCAAATCGGAGGGCCTGTTGTCTGGACCTATGGCAGTCTCTATGGGGGTGCCACAGGGTTCAATTCTTGGGCCGACTCTTTTCTCCGTGTATATCAATGATGTCGCTCTTGCTGCTGGTGACTCTCAGATCCACCTCTACGCAGATGACACCATTTTGTATACATCTGGCCCTTCATTGGACACTGTGTTAACAAACCTCCAAATGACCTTCAATGCCATACAACACTCCTTCAGTAGCCTCCAACTGCTCTTAAACACTAGTAAAACTAAATGCATGCCCTTCAATCGAACGCTGCTGGCACCTGCCCACCCGACTAGAATCACTACTCTCGATGGGTCTGACCTAGAGTATGTGGACAACTACAAATACCTAGGTGTCTGGTTAGACTGTAAACTCTCCTTCCAGACTCACATTAAGCATCTCCAATCCAAAGTTAAATCTAGAATCGGCTTCCTATTTCGCAACAAAGCCTCCTTCACTCATGCTGCCAAACATGCCCTCGTAATACTGACTATCCTACCGATCCTTGACTTCGGCGATGTAATTTACAAAATAGCCTCCAACACTCTACTCAGCAAATTGGATGTAGTCTATCACAGTGCCATCCGTTTTTGTCACCATAGTCCCATATACTACCCACCACTGTGACCTGAACGCTCTTGTTGGCTGGTCCTCACTAAATATTCGTCGCCAAACCCACTGGCTCCAGGCCATCTATAAATCAC